CTCCACTCTCCTCCTCGTCCTCCTCCTACCCACGAAAGAAGAAGAAAGAACGAAGAAGAAGAAGAAGAAGAAGAAGAAGAAGAAGATGTACACCATGTCTCTTATACACATCTAGATGTGTATAAGAGACAGGTCCTCCATCCTCCCTCCCCTTCCCTTTCGCCTCCGTCCTCCCTTCCCTCTCCCCCCCCCTTCGCCTCCGTCCTCGTTTCCCCTCCCTTCCCTCCCCTTCCCTCCCCTTCCCTCCTTTCCCCTTCTTGCTGCACCCTTCCTTCCCTTTCCTACTCTTCCCTTCCTGATGGAATAGCATCCCGATAGAATAGGATCTTGATGGAATAGGATCTGGATAGAAAATAGGATATTGATGTAATCAGGTAAAGCTCAGCACAGAAAGGACAAATCCGCCAAGGACAAGGTCGCCCATGGACGGAAGGGCCTCATTCTGATCTACCTCTCGTCAAATGTGGACAACGGTGGGTGTGTCTTGCCACCTTTTTTATGTCGAACGGTATGCTTATGATGCTTTCCATCTTCTATTTCAAAATATACTTAGGACTTAACCATTTGTTATGTCAAAAGAGACGTAGTACGTACCATTTGTTATGTCAAATCAAAGCATACTTAGTGCTTACTACTTACCATTCATTATATCAAAATCAATGTATAGTAATTACCGTACTTAGTACTTAGGATCTTTTGACATGACAAATGGTTAGTACGTAACCATACTTAGTACGCACTATTTGTTGTGTGAAAAGATACTCAGTACTTAGTATTTACTATCTAGTATTTACCATGTCTTATGTCAAAAGATACTTAGTATTTAGTACTTAACTATTGTACTTGGTGTACTTACTTAACATTTGTTAAGTATTTAACTATTGTACTTATTGTACTTAGGACTTAACATTTGTTATGTCAAAACATTTGTTATGTCAAATCAAATGTACATAGTACTTAACCATTTGCTATGCCACATCACCGTATGCTTAGTACTGAACCATTTATCTGTCAAAATGTACTTTGTGCTTACAATTTGTTCGGTCAAACTATACTTAGGGCTTACCATTCATTATGTGAAATTATCTTTCGGTCACATTTCACAAGAAGTGGCACTTGGCCCAGAAGACTCGGGGAGAGTGGTTTTTGAAGCGCAGGGAAGCAAACAGAAGAGCTGTGACTTCGGCTCGTGCCTGCATTGTATACGCATGTAATTGTTGTTAGCAATATGTTACTAATCACATCCTCTGTTCGAATCCTGATGGAACTATTAATAACATTCTGTGTTTGTGCCAGCCCAAGAGGGGGGGAAGAAAGCGAGAAAATAGCAAACCATCATCTTTGAAGTAGGGAAGAATCGGGGGGGGGCGGGTGGAGGTGGGGAATTACTCCTTTCCAAACATATGTGGGCAAACAAGATGAAATTTTACCAAAAGGACAGTGTCCTCCTGTGTAGGAGTGTGGTAGGTAGGACAGCGGTGGGTGGCGGTGCGCGGTGGGTGGCGTCTTCTGAGAGGAGGGGGGGGGGGGGGGGGGGGGAGAGAATATAAGGGTGAAAATTGTGGTGGATGGCCGTTGGCTCAGTGGTGCATCAGTTGTAAATGCGCATTGTGGTATATGAGGTTGTGGGTTCAAAACTCCGTTGTCTCGCGCACGTACACCGGTAAGCGCTTTCATAATGCACAAGCCATTCACAAACCCCCCCTCGGGACAACGCATGGTAAGGTTTTATACAGCCACTACCTGCGCACCGCCCAAGGGGTCTAGGTCCATGATTGTAGTATGCTGGATAGGGCCATAGGGAGGGCTGCTTGAGTGCTTGGTCTTAGGGGGGTCTGAGGATCAAGGTCTTATCTTGGATTCACCATGGGCTGTTTGGAGGGGGGGGAGAGGGATGGGTTAGGGTAGATTAAAGGGGGAGGGTTTACTGCCTAGACTGTCGACAACCAAAAAAACTGCCAAAACTGTCGAAACTGTTGAAACTGTCGATACCTCTGCGTGGCCACTTGGACCCTCCGATCTGTCAGTCTCGCCAGTATGTACTACTCCGTGGGGGTTGCCATGGTCGTGCCTGGGTACAGTACTACTCCGTCATAGGGATGGGTTAGGGTTGATTAAATGGGGAGGGCTTACTGCCTAGACTATCGACAACCAAGAAAACTACCAAAACTGTCGGATACCTCTGCGTGGCCACTTGGACCCTCCGATCTGTCAGTCTCGCCAGTATGTACTACTCCGTGGGGGTGCCATGGTCCTGCCTGGGTACAGCTAGGATGTTTCCCGTCACTATGGCTCCCATACAAGAGTCCACACAGAGCGACCTTAGACTACGGTAGGGCCCATCTCGAGGGGTATAATCCTACCGCACACACTGGGTGATTGTATGGGGTGGGTACTGGGTACTTCTCATCCCACAGGTATCTCATGATGCCTGCGGGTGGTGCTTCATCCAGGTTGGCGTCCGTGGGAATTCTCATTGGGGGTATTAGTCGGGACTGTGGATTCTTGGGGAGCCTGAGGTAGGAAGGCATCATGCTTAGGATAGGGGAGGGCGGGATATCACATCTTAGTGGAAGGGCGGTTCGCTGCCCATAGAGTCTGCGGGAGGGAGGCACAGATGGGTGATGACTATATATATGCATGGACCCCACCTGTGCCCGGGTCGTCCTTAAGATTAGAGTTAGGGTAGTGTCTGCACGAAGACGTTCAGGTTAGTGCGGTAAGCGTTGGGGCAGACCACGACTTGCGATCTGAGCATTAGCTTAGGTCATGGTACCATGGTGCCGTCCTGAGGTGACTCCCCCTGGGTCCCTGCAATCCATCTGACCCCTCCCAAGATGAGTAGTACGGGCACCTCCTGAGGCCTGGCCACCACCCTCTACTACACCCTGGACCCTTGGGGGGGGGGAAGGTGGAAAATTGTGTGCAGCTGAAAGGCCTAGGCGTATATAGAGAAAACCAGCATGGCCTCTGTGCAAGGATGAGGCCTGG